GATCCTAGGATAAAAATAGTTTACCCTTAATCCGAGGATAGAAAGAGTTTATTACTCTTAATCCGGGGATAGAAAGAGTTTACTCTTGATCCGAGGATAAAAAGAATTTATTACTCTTGACCCGAGGACAGAAAGAGTTTACTCTTGATCCGAGGATAAAAAGAGTTTATTACTCTTGATCCGAGAACAGAAAGAGTTTACTCTTGATCCGAAGATAGAAAGAGTTTTACTCTTAATCCGAGGATAAAAAGAGTTTATTACTCTTGATCCGAAGATAGAAAGAGTTTTACTCTTAATCCGAGGATAAAAAGAGTTTATTACTCTTGATCCGGGGATAGAAAGAGTTTTACTCTTGATCCGAGGATAGAAAGAGTTTACCCTTGATCCGAGGATAGAAAGAGTTTTACTCTTGATCCGAGGATAGAAAGAGTTGTTTTTTTTTAATCATCATCATCGTGAGGAAGATTGATGATTAATTTTATCATCGTCATCGTGAGGATAGTTAATGATATTTTTTTTTTTGAGGAAAATATTGACTCGAAAAATTAAGAGCCATTTTTCTTTGCTGAAGCAATTTGATCTTTGATGAAAGTGGGCCCGAAGCCATTTACTTGATAAAAGTAGTAGCCGCAGGTAAGAAAGCTTCTGGCCATCTACCCTGACAAAGGTAGTTTTTTTTTATGGCTTATAGCTCTTTGAAAATGGTCAAAAGGTAAATTTTTCTTCTGACTTGTTATTATCAGATTTGATGTAGGTTGAGGTCGGGTACAATTTGAGCCAATTGCACTTGACTGCCGAAGCTAATTGCTTTGGTTGCTCTAGCATTAGCTCGTATGAGCTTCGGCTTGGATGAACCTTCTTCGGTTCAGACAAACCATCTTCGGCAGCACCCTCGGCTCATATGGTTGTGAGTTTCGGCTGGGAGCTCAAATCTCGGCGAAGGTAAACCTCGGCTGGGCTCGGCTTCGGCTATGGCTAGCCTCGGCCAGGAGATAAGAGGTGAGCTTCGGCTCGGCAATGGTTACCGACCTTAACTTGGGAGCGGTAAACTGTACCACCCTTGGTTTCTGCTGAATCACCTTCGACTCGCCCAGAACGCCTTCGGCTTGGGCTGAAACTCCTTCGGTCTCGGCTGAAAAGCCTTAGGCTTGGCTGAAACACCGGTCTCGGCTCGGCTGGCTTGCCCAGAACACCTTCGGCTTGGGCTGAAACACCTTCGGATAGCCTCGGCTCGATGAGCTTCGGATTCCTTTTGCTTATCCGAGCTATTTGCTTCGGATTTTTAGATTGGTGATAGTTTGAGCTTTTTTAAGCTTCAACAATGGTAGACAACCTCAGATCTTCTTCGGCTACTACTTTAGATGTGATGTGAAGAGATTTGGCTCACTTCACAATACTAGCCTTGACCCCCATTGACCTCGGCATGTGTTGCCTAGGATGAAATGGTGAGTCGTTCTAGTGGTGGAGTTGTGAGCCTTGAAGCTTGTGATGAAGACAATGGCAATTTCCTTCGGCAAGCATTGAATTTACATAAACTTGATTGATTTTTTTTGTATGTTTCATGCCACCTGCTGCCTCTTCAACTTGGTGGTGTGAATGAAAGGCTTGCTTTTGTGAGATTTCCATTAGAGCCACGTAGATCTAGCTTTTATTCTTCTTAATTAAGATTTGACCATATTCATGGAATATTTCCCAATTTTTTTGTAAAGGCACGAAGTACCTTGTTAGTAGTGGTTAGATTGGCGACAAATCAAAATGTTTATCTATCATCTCCACCATTTGCAAGAATGATTACCCCTTTTGACAGGAGTAATAATTTTGGGTTAAATTTGCTAGAAATTTTGACCCTTTTTCGTGATAGAACACAGTAGCCATGAATTAGTGGATTTTCATGGGTAGTAGTACTCGTCTCCCCACAGACGGCGCCAAATTGTTTCGGCAAAAAATGAGCTAACCGGGCCTTGGAGGGGTGTCTGAGAACCTCGAATTTGGGCCTTGAATGGACCTGCAAAATGAACTCCGAGCCCCGGGGGTTGAACCCGGGGCGGAGCCTCCGATGCCCAAGTTAGTTGCCAAACAATGCATATTTTGAGAGGAGTTTAGGGGAGAGAGTGGAGGAGTATGGTCATCTTAGATGATAAGAGTGACCTTCTTTTAACTTATGCCCTTTGAGGGGTATTTATATGAGTACATAAGTGGGTTTATGAGCCCTAAAACTTCATATGTGGGCCGTTGAAAGCCATATTCATGTATTTGACTTATTTGGGGCCTACCTTTTTTATGCCCTTTGGGCTTATATGGGTAGAGTTACCCAAGACTAAAATGAGTATGACCATTTTAGTACCCAAACAACAGGTATTTAATCCTTCCCACTTTCTTGATTTCGCAGATTGTTTTTTTTAGCAAGATGGATATTTTGTCTTCATTTTTGTTATTTGAGTAGATGTCAACTAGATTAGTCGGTAAAAGTCTTGTGGCGGTACCCATTTGAATAAAATCTCGTCTACATCATTCCTCGATTTCCTATGTAATTATACTCTTGATACACTGTATTCCTACAAAAAGAATTTAAAAAATTGGAAAAGTGATAGGATATCTGGTGAAATTGCAGTATATATTCCGTAGTTGTTGATATTCTTGATAAGGGTTGAGGCACTTTAGCAATTGTTTCTTATTATTCCAAGTTCTGTTTTTTGTGTTATTTGAGGTTGATATCCAATGGCTAATTTTAGTTATGCTTTGGTCTATCCGTTTTTCCAACAATGTTAAAGAACTTTTTATTGATTATGTAAAAGTGATTTGAGTTTGTAGGAAGGCAAATAAGGAGGTACTGTACAAAGTGAGATATCAGATATGTAATGGAAACATATATATATATATATATATATATATATATATATATATATATATATATATATATATATATATATATATATATATATATATATATATATATATATATATATATATATATATATACTTGTTCAAAACAATCATTTTAATTTGATTAGATTGACTATTATTCATGGTGCTGAAACTGGTGGAGATGATCTTCCCTTTTGGGTAGTAGATCATAGTTTTGTCATTATAAATCATAGAAGCATGGAACCCATGAATGCAAATTTTCGAGGAAATATAGGATAACAAAAAGCAATATATAAATCCACTTCAAAGAAGCAATATTGAGGGCAAACTTGCTTAATGTAACAAAGAAACAAGGAGTGAGCGAAAAAACATTGTAACTTAAGGCTATATTTAGGAGATTAATTGTTTGAATGAGTGTATTATTTTTGCGAAAACGTTTTGCAGTTAACAAACCAGGTCTTTAAGGGATTAGTTTTGATTAAGTTTTGGATAAGTTTCCCCGTTTTGGAGGTGTTGGAAAGGTAAACATTGACCCCAAATAGAGTTTCCGTGCATCATAGTATGAGAATGAGTTTAGTGTGATAGTGGCAGCTAGAAAGTAAGTGAAGTTCCAACATAAATATAGTTACAAATGTAATGTAATCTTCTCATGATAGGAATCAACAAGTAAGTTCTTTAACATCATCATCTTAGGTTCCTAATTCCCTTAACAAAATACATTTAAGGAGGTTGATTGAGTTAGTTTTACTACTGTTACAACCCAAAATACTCGGGTTATTTAATCTAGCTGTTTTGTTTTATATATCTCTTGGTTAGATACTGAAATATCACTAAGTAGTACGGAGTAATGTAGTGTCTCAATAATATCCTATTACTAAACAAATTTTGACTCCTCCGAGTAACACTCTAATGGTCATATATTACGAGAACTCATAAATCTTAACATTATACTGTATGCAAAGTTAGGGAGGCTTTATGACAAGTTTCATTTCAGAATTCACCCATCATTTGTCAGATTTGCAGTAAGTTTGAGACACCATTTTGCATAGCAACACACAAAAGCCTCCATTTTCTTTGGTGTATTGATTAGGTTATGGTGTCACCCTTTAACTAAGTATTTTTCCAATAATATTCTACTTCGTATTAATTTATGGTTCCCCTTAAATTGTCGATTTCCCTGTAATCCATATGCTTAGAGTACATACTAGGACAGAGTTGGGTTTCTAGGAGTTGTAACGCTGTGCATTCTGTTTGTATGCCGCAGCAGCTTGCCTTTTCTTTTGCTGTTGCTGCTGCTGCAAATATTTCTCTCTCTTCAACTGCCTTTTTTTATACTCCTGATTTTGATTTCACTTTGAAAACACTCCGAAGGAAGCAACCCCTTAGTGCATGAACAACTGACTATGTTTGAAAAATTATATTGTGCTCTGTATATAATTTGGATTTCGAGCTTTACACTATGTTTGGATAGGAAATTTTGGAGGAAAAGTGAGGGAAGGAAAAGTGACGAATATAATGTCCCTTATTTGGGTAAGACATAGGGAAGGGAAAGGAAATGGTCGGATCTATTTTCCTTCCTCTTTAATAAAACAAATTCCTCCATTGTTAGAGAGATTTGTAAGGAAAATGTTGGTCACTCTCTCTCTCCCTTCAGCTTTCTCTTTCTTTCCACCTTTTTCTTCCCCTCCTTTTCCCATTACACTCCGTGCGTTTTTACGGCCCAATTTCTAATTTTAAAGTTTTATAGTAATAGTGAGTGTTTTAATATGCATGATAAGCTTCTCTATTTCTCTTTCCTCACAAATTCTGTGCCAATTTCATGTATCAAAGATATAAAAAATTATCATGTTTATCCTGCCGCTTAGTGATTTGCCTTTGAACATTTGAATTGGTTCTTCAAGTTCTTGGACTCCTATTGTAACTTTTGCATTTATTTCCCAACTTTTTTTCATTCAAATACTGCTTCAGATTTATTCAAAGAATCAAAGACTTCCTGTGCAGCATAATATGTCAGATATGTTTCCTGTAGTTAGCAGAATTTTAGCTTATTTTGGGACTGCATGATTTCGTTGTATGCTTATATGCTATGCAGATGCATTTGTAGCTTTTATTAACATCATTGTGACTTACTGCAGAAATTGAAGACACGACATGTGAAAAATGACTGCAATCCTGAATGGAATGACGAACTGACTCTTGCAATTTATGATCTTAACGATCCAATCAACTTAGTGAGTATCTTTGTATCCTTTGAATCCCCCCCTCCCCCCACCCCCCATTCTGTTGTTGCATTATATGCGTCAGCTCTCTGTAGGAACTTCATTGTGTCGTTTAGTCATGCTTGCAGATTACAGTTGAAATTATTTATCCATTCTCAAAAATTCATAATCTTGATTGAATACCTGTTTCTATTTATTTAACCATTTTAAAAATGTTAAATTTTCTTACATTTCTATTTCCAGATCAGTAATCTTACTGATAATTACTATACACTTAAAAACCTCAATGTAGATTCAGTGCCTTATTATGCTAATGCTTCAATGTGCAGTTATCTGATTGATCTTTTTTTTATACAGACAGTGTATGACAAAGACACATTTACTAGCGACGACCTAATGGGTGAGGCTCAGATAGACATAAAACCGTATGTAGAATGTCTGAAGGCAAGATTAAGTGATCTCCCAGATGGAACCGTTGTTGATAAGATCCTTCCGAGCAGGGAAAATTCGATAGCTGATGTGAGCCAAATTATTTGGATGGATGGAAAGTTAGTGCAGGACATGATTCTCAGGCTTAAAAATACAGCAACTGGTGAGGTAGAAATCCAAATCGAGTGGGTGGATGTTGCAAAATCTTAAAATCTTGAGGATTTGAGAAGGTTATACATCTGTTTCCGACTTTGGAGTGGAGTTACAGCTTGGTTTTGAATGCTCAGTTTGTAACTTGTTTGTGCTTCTCTCTTTCTGTCTCTCCCTTTTCTTTTTTCTTATGTGTTAAGTTTGTAAATTAGACGGACTTTTTACTCTTGTGTGCAAGTGCAACTTTTAGTTAGCTAGTTGAATAAGCGCAGGACTTTTTACTCTTGTGTGCAACTTCAGTATTGATCATAAATGCATAACATTGCACATGCTTTGCGCTGTGCTCCCATATCTAAGGTCTTATATAATAAAGTGTTTTGGCCCGGCTTCCTTGTCTGTAGACATGTTATTAACAATGCTAGTTTATTATGTTGTGTAATGAAATTTTTTCTGTGGAGGCGGATGCATCATGCTATTTTATAAACATATAGCTATTTTATAAAGAACATCCAGTTTTATATGTTTTTTTGTAAATCTAAAAAACATTTGTAATATTAGTAAAGAACATGATAATATTAAAGAACATTATTCATATAGTAAATGTACATTTGGTATAAATTATCATGTATGTACTTTTTACTGTATTATCATGTATGTATATGAAAAGTACATTTTACTGTATTATAATGTACACTGTATTATTTCTTAATGAACATATATGTTATAATGTTGGTCACATGTTTAATGTACATTGTATTATTTGGATCATGCATATGAAAAAAGAACATTTTACTGTATTTTAATGTACATTGCATTATTTTGATCTACAACTTTTTCTAAATTTGTCTATTTGCTTGCTTTCGTCTTCCAAAATGTATTAATCGGTCGATCTTCTTCAAAAACTTTATTTTATTTCTTATTGCAACAACAAAATTACATCAAAATCGCAATTTATTCCCAATAAAATCAAATATTTTAATTTTCAATCAAATTTATAAAGAACAAACACTCAAACAAGTATGAATGGCAAATAAACAAGTATGAGTGTCGAATTTGATCTTACCTTTCATTTTTATATGTCATCTTGAACAATTTTGGGCTCAAAATTTCGAAATTCTTGAAATTTAAAATTTTGCTTGTGGTTTGAGGAATTTAAATGAGTTTGAAGTTTTGTTTGGAGAGAGAGAGAGTGAACTTTTGGTAAAAAAAAAATGAAATGATTTGTAATTAATGTATAGTAAAAAAAATAATTATAGTACTATTTATCTATTTCATTATACAAAATTTCTTTCAATAAAAATATATATAAATTGTTGCACAATAAAAATCTAATGTACATTATAAATGAACACTATGTTGTTTTATGTATAAGTCCATGTACATTATAATTAAACACTATGTTCTTTTATATGCCCATGTACATTAGTATACACGTGCATGTACATTCCGCCTTTTTGTATTTTGGAGCGGATGCACCTTGCAGATCGTGCATACGCCTGCATGAACCAAGCTTTAGTTGTGTAATACTCCCTCCGACCTCTGTCTCCATTTGATTTTCTCTTTTATCATTTTGGGTGCTCTTAAATATTTGTAACATTTCACATTTTTTCATTAAATAATACACATTAAATTACAATATTAACCTCACATTTTTTTTGTCCTTATTATGAGAGATTTTATTTTACCCTCATATTTTTACCCTCTTTATTTGTTGGTCCCCTTTGGAATTTGTAACTATTACTTTCTCTCCATCAAACATTTTGGAATTTTTAGTTTAGTCATCAGTATGTGTAGTATAATTCTATTGGATGATGTAATTATTTCTTGTAATGTTATTGATTAAAAATAAATCACATGGATTACCTTAAGTGGTCCTTAATTTTCATTGACCACATAGATTACTTTCTCGCTCTTATTTTTTTTAAATGATTGGGTTTTAGGCGGCGTTTGGTTCGCTAACCGGTATGGAGTTGGAATCAGGAACAAAACCATAGTGGTATGGGTTTGGAACTCAATTTTTAATACCATATGTTTGGTATGATTATGAAATGCAATTTTTTTCTATAGTTTGATACCTAAAAGTTTGGGAATGAGCCAAACTCACCTCCCTCTCAAGGTTTCTAAACCCCATACCTTGGGGGTTTGAGGTATGAGTTTGAAACTCTTAAAATCATAAAACAAACACAAGATATGAGTTTAAATCATTCTAAACCCATACTTTATACCTTAATTAAGTGAACCAACCACCCTGTTAGCTCCCATGTACTTTCTTAATTTCTCCTTAATTCCTATGATTTTTCTATCAAAAGTGACAATTAAATGGGGACGGAGGGAGTATTACTAATATATACTCTTCTGTAGATTTGTATTTTGATGAATCATATTTCTGCTACTATTATAGACACATTTATGCTACTATTATAATTGCACTATAAGTCTTTAGTCACTTTTTGTGTAGCATTTTTATAAGGGTTTGTTTGAGATCATTTTTTTAATTTTCAGTTTCCTATTTTTTTTTTGAAAATCAAAAACCAAAAATAGAAAACAAGAAAAGGGTGTTTTCACTTTTCTTTTGTCAGTTTACAAAATTATCATGATTTTAATAAGTTTATATAATGATTAATTATGGGACATATATGACATACTTTTAAAAAAAGAAAACCACAACAATGCCAAACGAACCCTAAGTTGTCTATTTTGTGTTCTACTCCGTATTCCGCTCCGTTTGTATTTTCTTAATATTTTAGATAGTTTTCATAATTTTGGATGCTTTTGGAGAGGTTTTAGAAGAATCAGACATTGAAAAGATGAAATGTTGATGAATTGAAGTCTTAAAGGTATGTGTTTGTGGAAGCTTAGGTTGAGATTTATATGCATGAGGAATGATAATAGAAAGACGGTTACTGTGCAAATGGATTTGGGTTAGAAATGAAGAAAATGATGGTTACAAAGTGTAGAGAATGACCTTTAATTTGTTCACTCTTTTGATGATTAGCATCCTAGTTAGCTTCTATATACATGTTGCAAAACATACCAACATCCCCATAGTTTCTCCTCTTATAGGCCATGTTTGGTAATTAGAGTTTTGACAAAAAAATGAGCTTATTTGACCAAGTTAGAGGTTTTACTACATAAATCATCTAATTTGGTTGTTTGGTAAAAGAGCTTTTTAAATGAGCCAATTGAGGCAAATAAGCTAATTTGTAAAACGCTAAAAAATAGAGTTTTTTAGATTAGCTTATTGAGTAATGGATGTCAAAAGATAATTTTATCCTAAAAGTTACTCTAATTCACATTATTGCCCTCCCAATTTCTTACCCTAGTCAAGTACGAGTAAAAAAAATTATCAATGTCCTAAATTGTCATTTTATATATTCAACTAACAAACAACTACAAATAATAAGCTAATATTACCAAACAACTCTACAAAAAACCTCTTATAAATCAGCTAGTCAAAACAACTAATGCAACCAGTTAGTCAAAACAGCTAATGCAATTAGCGCTTACCAATCTGCTAACCGGTAATTACCAAACATGGCCATAGTCTTCCTAATAAAAAGCATATGATGATGATGTGATAACTATCCTCCAAATATCCCATTGTTGTAATCCGAAATTTTTGCTATCTCTTCCAAAAATGCTTAATTACATTTCCATTTTTTTTTCTCCTTTCTTTCGCATTTCAAATCTTCTCTCCTCAATTTTCAATTCAATTACTGTTATTTTTTTTAGGAGAGAATAATCCCCCAAATTAAAATGGACGGCATTAAAGGGCTCTTAAGAATCAAAGTTCGTCGAGGGGTCAACCTCGCTATTCGCGACACTTTTAGCAGCGACCCTTATGTCGTCATTACTAGAGCTGTCAAAAGCTGACCCGACCCGAAATACCGACCCGGACCCGATTATTAACCGACCCGTTTAAACCCGTAAAAATGATGACCCGAACCCGACTTGACCCGACCTGAAACCAACCCTAAACACGAATTAACCCGATTATTTGAGACCCGAACCTGAACATGAACCGACCTGGAGATGACCCGACCCAAATATAACCCGTAAAATATTGACTTGAACCGAACCCGACCTTAACCGAAATTGACCCAAACCCGATTAAACCCGTCAAAACCCGAATTTAACCCGACCTGAATTCAACCCGACCTATTCCTAACCCGACCCGAATTCAACCCAACCAATTCCTAACCCGACCCAAATTTAACCCGACCTATTACTAACCCGACCCGAATTTAACCCGACATATTACTAACTCGATACGAACTTTAACCCGACATATTACTAACTCGATCCGAACTTTAACCCGACCTATTACTAACCCGACCCGAATTTAACCCGACCTATTACTAAACCCGGACTTCAACCCGATTTGTTATTGACCTGACCTGAAATCAACTCAACTTGTTATTTTATACATCTTTATTATTGTAGATCGGATACTGAATAAAGATATATGCTATATATATTCTAAGCTACTCGTTTTGTCGAAACTTTGTCATCTGATGACTATATATACTTCAGATTTTTGTTCGAAACAATAATGTATCTTATATTTAAACAAAGTAATAGTTTTTACCAAGCCTTTCAATTCTTTTAGTTTAATGAACAATCATTGAAATGTAAACAATATAATAGGCAAATAAGATTAAGTAAAAAAAATAATGAATGCATATTTTAGGAAAGAATCAACCAATAACTAAAAAAAATAAAATTATATATGACATGCGCATCTTCAACAATGGGGTTATCATCTACAGTTTATTCAAAAATGATTGGCTACCAACATTCGTACCAGACTTGATCAGCAAATACATCTTTTGAATTGCTTTGTAATACAAATACATTGTAATTCTAACTATCCTATTTAATTAAATCAATTGTTGTTGCCGATTTCATTGATTTCGTGTCATAAATCCTCAATCTTGTGGCTTGATCAGTGAATAGTTTTAGTGGGTAATAACTTGTAAGCAGGGGGTTGAAGGTGGAGAACCACTAGTCTCTGCCACACTACACTTACTACACCAAAAAGGTAGAGTATTGTGTAAACCAGCAGACCACCAGACCAATTCCAACTTCCAATAGACCACCAGCAGCAAAGAGACACCACACCAACTCAAACCAAAAGCCAGCAGCAGCTGACACACACACGCAGGCAGCAGAAGAGAGGACAGCCAGCAAGAAACCCAGAACAGAAGGCACAGCTAGAGCTGTCAACAGCAGATAAACAGCCTGCGAAACACACATACCACTTCCTAACAGGGCAGCCAACAGCAAGAGCCAGCAGCCCCACAAACAGGAAGACAGAAGCCAACAAGCAGCTACAGCAGCAAACAGCGACACATCACATCAACAACAAGGCAGAAGACAAAAACATCAACCAGTACACCTTGCAACACACTACAGGCAGCAGTAAAGACAGGCATAAAGCAAACAAGCAAGAAGCACACAACACAGAACACACCAGCGGCCTGAACCAACATACAACAACTAGCACCTCTAGACACCACACCAGCAAGCTTGCAACAACAAAAAGCACACAAAAACGACCATTGATAAACCAGGCAGCAAGCAAGCAGCAACAACACTTCCAGCATGACAACCACAGCACAAACAGAACCAGCAAGAACCAACCCAGCAAGGATCAGACTTTAGCAGAGCACTAGCAAGAAACATCAGCTGTCAGAAATAATAAGAAGACAGAAACAACCAAAGCAGACCAGAAATTCAGCACTTGTTGTTCTTCCACAAAACTTTACTGTTGCAATATTCAATGTACAAAATATCAGCAAGAAATTCATAATATGCCATAGATAAGAAGCAAGAGACTAGAAAAATATAGCCATTTTTTTCATGATCTTTGATTGTAAAAAGAGTAAGTGAAGCAAAAAAAAGCTCAAATGATAGCAATTCTTCATCACCAAAACAAGGTGGTTACAATTGAACAAGTACATAAACTAAGTAAAGAGTTTAAACTAAAATGCTGAAAAAGACAATAAGGCTCAAGCAGGCAGCATGCTTTATTAATTTGAGGTTTTAAACCAGTGAGCAAATGAGGGCGAGTGACATCCACCTGCAAAAAGATAAGCAAACAAATAAGAGAGTAAGAGACATAATAGTGTTATAGTGATTAAAAAAACATTACATTCATTTTCAAAAACTCAAATAACCACGAGTAGTACAAGCTGTCCATACATCACAAGTCAAGGACAATTTACTTGTTAAGGCCTTAAACGTATTACGAACATATTGCTTTAACACATCATGCTCTGTCATGCACCATTTCAATATTGTGTTTCTAGAAATAGTTCTAACCTTGGAATTCAAATATGTATGCAATTCCCTAAACCCCTCATGTTCAACAATACTTAAAGAATAACCATGCTTCAATATAGCTCTAGCAAATAACTTACAGTATTCTTTTTGGTCAAATTAAGATGCATTAGACTTATCAGACTTATCTGAATCTTTATATAGTGGGCACTTATCAAGGTGTCTCTTTAGATTAGACGTACCAGTTGAACCACTATGTTTCTGGACTAGTCTTTTGCAAAACTTGCATGCAGCATGTTCACCATTAATCTCAAAATTCTGCCAAATAGGAGATCGCTTTCCTTGAAAAGGAGATATTGATTGATGGGGTTCAGGTGTTGGGGTAGCATTTCCAACACTCATGCATGTATTTGATGCTTGCTCAAACTCGAAATCACCCACTACACCAAACAATCAGGCAAAGATTAGGAGTTAGATCAATAAAAATGCATAATTTATTATACTACTTTGTAATAAAGAGAATTTTGAAATATATTTTGTAATAGTAAGACATATGATTGCCAATATTTTGTTCTACTCTTAATTCATACATAGTACTTAGTAAAAGAGACACACAACACCTATAATCGAGCAACTGTGACAGCAAAACCAGAAACTTATAAATCTGGCGATTCTTTTTTTTTTTCTTTTTTTTTTGATCTAATCTGGCGATTCTATATACATGCAAATCAATTAATTTTTGCCAATTACTTTACAATGGCATATAGTATAAGATTGATACATTAAATTTCACGTTTTATTGTTTCTGAATCACTATCTCCTTAACTGAAGCATATAAATGGAATCTGCAAAATTTAATTAGAATGAACCATACCTCTTTCAGCTGCGTAATCAAATCCATCCTCCGCCATGATAGTTTGACCCCTTTAACACCATAACATATTAACAAATTAAACCCCTAAAAATTATCAAGAACATCTAAATCTAAAAATTTGCCCTAAACGTTTTAATCCCTAAATATATTTAAAATCAAAATGCTAAGCATAATATTAAAATGTAAAATTAACAAATTATTTAAAATCAAAATGCTAAGCATAATATTAAAATGTAAAATTGGACTGATTACCACTCCTTGACTCCTTGTTGAAGGTAGAATACGGGAGTGAGATTTGAGATTGAGAGTGGAATTGTGTGAGTCTAAGAGAGGCCGAACAGTGGTGAATTATAGCCATGAGTGGATCTCTGAATTTTAGTATATTAGGAAAGCTAGATTGTAATGGCGGAAATGGCGAGATTTGCGCTGAGAATTTTAGTATATTAGGAGTTCTACGCTCTAATGAAGGTGATAATTTGAAGTTTGAGAGTGAATTACTGATGATTGAATTGAACGCTCTAATCACTCTTTTTCCTTTTTATATATTTTTTTTATTTTGTTACCTAATTAAGTCGTAAACTATCACATTTTTCTCCAAATAATATTATGTCATATTTTTTCCCCTAATTATATGAGTTATTTTCCTATTTAAGCTTATTCAAATATTTTCAATAAAATTCTCTATTATTTGTATTACAATTCTCTAGTAATTACGATTTACGAATACTACTACTTTTTATATGCAAGTTCATTATATATTTCAATTAAACAATTATGGTGTACGAACACTACTACTATATAGGCGCATGTGCATTAATGTAGTCAATTACGGTTTACAAATACAATTTGACCTTAGGCTTGTTTGTTTTATCCTATATTTTATATATAAAAAAAAATCAAAAAAAAAGTTAAAAAAAAAATAATAATTTCGAATAATGATTGAATTGAATGTGATAATGATTGAATAAGATGATAATCTGACCCACATAATTTACCTGTACCCGATCATGACTTGACTTGTTTGTACTCGAGAAAGTGGTGACTCAAACAAGAGTTGTTAAAAGGCTTTTATTGATCTTTTATTTTTCTAATTTTATTATTCATTTGCCTATTTAATCTTATTTAAAAAAAATGCCATTAAAAAAAACGTGAACTCGGATATGAACTTATAAAAAATAAATAGGTTTAGATAATTTCAAATAAAATAAGTTTAGAAAAAAAATTGTTGTATTTTAATTTATCTAAACTAAACTTATTTTATCCGAATTTATATGAACTTATTGTATTTTATCAAAACAAGTCATCTCGGATATGAACTTATCTGAAATTGTTATCCCTACAATGAGTGGAAACAATGTGAATAGATTAGAATAGGGTTTGAACTTATCTTCTAAAAATCTAAATTAAACCTTATCTTATCTAGTTTTATTAGAATTTAACTTATCTGAAATTATTTCTCTTATAATAAGCGAAGTAATTGATAATGAGTCAACGTGAATGTCATTACATACGCTGTTAACAAACCGACCCAGAAAATGTACCCAAACCTGATATGACTAGACCTGAAATCAACCCGATACCCAGATTAACCCAATATTTGAGATCCGAACCCGAACATGACCCGACTTGTAAATGACCCGACCTGATTGTAACCCGCAAATAATCGACTTGAACTGAACCCGACTTGTACCCGAACATGACCCGACCTGATTGTAACCCGCAAATAATCAACTTGAACCGAACCCAACTTGAACCCGGGAATGACCCGACCTGATTATAACCCGCAAATTATATGACTTGAACCGAACCCGACTCAAACCCGAGATTGACCCGACCTGGTTATAACCCGCAAATTATTGACTTGAACCGAACCCGACTCGAACCCGAAAATGACCCTAACCCGTTTTAACCCGTGAAAACCCGAATTAAACCCGACCTATTATTCACCCGACCCGAATGTAACCCGACCTGTTATTAACCCGACCTAAACCCGACCCAAACCCGAAAAGATGTATGACCCGACGTTACCCGACTCAAGCATGACCCAACCCGAACCCGACCCGTAAAGATTATGACATTAACCCAAAATTAACCGACCCGAGTTGACCCGACCCACACTAACCCAATCCAAACCCTACCCGTTTACCCGAATTGACAGCTCTAGTCATTACCATGGGTTCGCAGGTCTGTAACTTTTTTTTTTTCTAATTTACAATGTCAATTTGATGATATGTACGAATCATTCAATCAATTAAATCCTTGATTCCGAAGTCGGATGATATTCAAAATTCAAAACCTTAATCCTTTACTATTATTATTGTTTATTATAATTTATTTAGCAATTATGACAGAGTATAACCATCACCTTAAACTTTTGGTTGAATTGGTCCACTAACATGGTATTAGAGTCAGCGTGACACAAACATTATGGGTTCGAATTTCATCCGCCCCTTCTTTAAAGTATAGGTACGGGTGCAGCTTAAACTTTTGGTTGAGTTAGTCCACTGACAAATTAGCATTCTACAAGCTTAATATTGATGTTAAGATATGTCTTGCCCTTAATTTTTTTTGAAATTAAAACCTGCTTTTCCATTAACTTATTTTTGGGTTAGGAATGTTGAGAAATTCATCAGATTTATTTTCTCAAATAATTTAAATAAGTTAATTATGTTATAAAGATAGCCAGCATATTCCTCTACAAAGTGAGAAAATTTCTATGTCTACACCCATAGGGTTACGGCATCTACGCCACCTACTATATACTTTGTATATTGCGTATATTGTAATTTTATAAAGTTATAATGTTAGTCCTATATGAAATCAATCACATAAAATAAATAAAGAAGAATATTTGAAATCTAACATTAAATTACAAAATAATTCATAATTAGTTTATCTTACTTGTGATTAAGTTTTTTGATTTTTTTTTTTTTAAAGCGTAAGTCATAATTACAAAATTCAAGGTAGAGATTTCTTTATTTAGAGTCATGTCGTCAAATTTTAACCAATTAATTCCAAAAAAATTAAAAAAATGGAACATGTTCAATATGGGTATATCTTTTTGAAATGCCTAAATAGAATATGAGATTAACATTATAAAACGAAGGGAGAAATTTATCAATCATGCATTAGATATTTAGATAATTTGTTTTTGAGTGCAAGGAATGAAATACTAACTTACTGTATTCAATGGATTAAATACCTTTGTATGTTATCACTAGGATGCTCCAAAAAATAATCACATCTCAGTTTCCTTTGTTTGGTTTGTGTAGAGTGTAAAGACTCAAGTGATAAAAAAGAATTGTAACCCAGAGTGGAATGATGTTCTTACACTTTCAGTGACTAATCCAAATATACCCATCAAGCTAGTAAGTAATTCCTTCTTTTGATGAACCATTCATAACTCTATGTTTTTAATGACTTAAATACATGTTTCTTTTGGACTAGTATGTTCTGATACAATGATACTTGTGGTTCATTGTTTTAACCACCAATCACTAGTGAGTGTCCTGGGCGTTACCCCGGAATACTACTTATATAGTTGTGCAAGTGTTAATTTTTAAAAACATTTAATAGTGCGTATGTAGTATGTATATTCCACACTTTTATAGTACAACATTATTTATTGTGCAACATTAAAGTATAATCGACTATTTGCTCAGATAGTTAACAATAACATTTCTTCAAGAATGATGTTGTTGGTAGTGCAGATGATGTGGCGTATTGAGGTAGCATAATAAAGAGTTGAGTGAGTGATGTGGCGTAGTAAGGGGGTCTACGTAGTGTATAGACGTTTTTAGAAATGCCTTTTAATATGTTAACAATTTTAGAAACGCCTTTTAATATATTAGTATAGATTTTTGGTGAATACTTTATTAGGAATGTTGAAAAACTTTTGAAAAATAGACTATTTCATTTGCGTGTAAGGTCATGTTCACTTCAGATCACTTTATGTTTGCTGAAATGGAAGTAATTTTACTGATGTATAATTTTTACTTATTCTCTATTATATAATTGTATAACTTTTTTTACTGATTTTCTATTATATTTCTATTTAAAATTACTGATTAACGTGGGAAAAAAAGAAGGAAAATACATTTTTTAAACATCACATGCAATTCACATGATAGTCAACACCGAAAAAGTGAAGTCAGCGGTCATATTTTAATGTCAAGGTCTCTTAGACTTTTTTCACTACTTTGAACGTATACGGTCCTTTTTTACAAAAAAGTTGAACATATAAGTACCTTTTGGACAATTTTCCCAATCTTTGAGAATGTTTGATGACATTTCCCAATTTTCGAAGGTGATGGTTGGTAATGCACTTCAGTTTGTTGCAGGCTGTTTATGACCATGATACGTTCACTAAACATGATAGAATGGGTGATGCTACAATTGATATTAGACCATATATTGAGTGTATGCAAATGGGATTAGGAGAACTTCCCATTGGAACTGCTGCAAAAAAGTTGCAGCCTAATGAGAATAATTGTCTCGCCGATGAAAGTAAGATCGTTTGGACAGGTAATGGTAAAATGGTTCAGGACATGATTCTTAAGCTTCAACATGTAGAGAGGGGAAAGTTACAAATTCAGCTTGAGTGGCTTGATCTTCCAGGTAATAAAGGATGACATTCTTGATGTATGCGTGCTACTCTAAAGTGTGACAAGAATTTTGAGGAATTTTTATTCGATGTTTTGATATTGCTATTGTATAATGAAAATTCTACAGTAGTTATTTGAAAAATATAATTCGGTATTGCTATTGTATAAAGTGTTATGATTGTATCATACTCACAACTATGTTATGTGAACAAGGGAACATCTCAAACTTGTATATATTGTTTGTTTTTATTTTCTATTATATTATTTTAACATTAATTTAAGGTAAAATATTTGGTTAAGTTCTAAATTATAGAACTTGAATTTATAAATTGAAATAAATATTATCTCATTCATCGGATAGTTAGATAAAATCATTAAATCAAAATATATTTTTTAATTTCTAATTATTTGTTAAAATGATATAAATCCTAATGTAAAAGATAATTTTTGTTTTTTTTTCATAATTTAAATCTTAAATTATTATTTTTTGTTTTCAATTCTCAAATTTCATTTGTTAATATCTTAAATGGAGACTGAAAATTAAAATTCTAAATTAATATATAAATCTAATTTTTCATTGGTCAAAATATTACTTTTTCTTATGTGGCGTGCGATGCACGAATTTTTACATACATTTTGTATATAAATATTTTTTTGGTGGATTATATCATCAGATATTTACATAAAACCATTAACATCGAATGATAATTTATATTTTTTAAATATCAAAATATAATTTTAAGTTTTTTAAATAATATAAATCCTAATATCTAAAGATTAGTTTTAGTTTTGTAACAAAATAAAAAGGATAAAATTTAGTGTTCTTAAAAAATAAAAATCCTAATAAATTACTATTCGTCGTTTTTACCTACGTGGCAAAAATTTTAAATTTCATTCGTCACTTTTGTTTAGGTGGCGAGTGATTTTTTTAAATTCTAAAATAAAATAAAAATCTAATTTTTAATTGGTAAAAAATATACCTTTTCTTATGTGGTGCTCCCAATACTCTCCAAAAATTCCTACTTTATTTATATATATTAGATTTAGTAGATGAAATAACAACTAATCACCTGAATCTGGGCACAAATTAACCTTCATGCAATTATTAAATCGAGCATAACTTTTTTTTTTATTTTTAAAACATGTTATAATTTTCTATCTTTTATTATTTTTTAAAAATAAAATCATGTTATAAATTTATTATTATTAGGCATGCTATATGCAGCCCTAAGGGCTTCATATAAGCATTAATTAGATATAAGATTCCCTTATATTTCCAATAATATAAATACAAATCTCAATTAATTAATTTTATGATTCCAAATAAAATATTTAACAACACTAAGTTTTAGCTAATAAAAAGGGGGGAAATTTGGCGCCATATTCTATTAAAATTTGCATCCCTTTAGTTTCCATTATATGGTCTTGTCAAACATAAAATTCCATTAATGGATATCAATCAACATTCCATCAAAATTTCTTCTGTCAAATAAATCCTATCAAAGTTACTGTTAATTTGGGGCAAAAGGCACATCAAGAACCCACTGGTATGTATATATATTTTTTTTTATCACTTTTGACTAAATTAATTCTTTTTCTCCCCCTTTTTATCTTTTCTCATGTTTTTAATTTCTCATAATCTAAATATGAAACGTTAAGCATGTTTCTTTATCTTCCCTACAAAAAAAAAAAAAATATTTCTTATCTTTTCTCATATTTCTAATTTTTTTATCCTAGTATTTGTGTGCATTTTAATTTTATCTAAGAAAGGTATGGTTGAATTGTTAAACAGATTTTAGTGATGCTTGATTTTGATTTGAATGAACCTTTAAATGAGAAAGATCAGAGGGATTATGATGATCCTTTTATTGGACAAACCTTTTCAAGTCAAGAAGAGGCATTTGTCTTTTATAATAATTATGCAAAACGACAGGGTTTTGTAGCTCGCAAAGATCGTTCGGATACTAAACATGGTAGAACTATTAGACAAGATCTTTTATGTCAACGCGTTTATCAAGCGGTTCGTTTCATCTCATATAAGTCTAACTGAATTTGTTAAGCAGGTTTGTATTTTTATTTTTTATCTCAACAACTAAATATATTCTGATAGTGATATTTGTTTGGTATCATATTTGATTATTTGTTAAATATAAGTCTGATAATATTTGTTAGGTATCATATTTGTTAAGTATATTCACTACAAGAAAACAGGGAAATAGCGACGGACACTTTATTCCGACGGAAAAGTGAAATTTTTTGACGGATTTTTATTCCGTCGGATATTTCCGACGAAGTCAATAATTCCGTCGGAAATCCGTCGGAAATTTCCGACGGAATAAAAATCCGTCGGAAATTTTTACATTTCCGACGGATTTTTCCGTAGGAAATTACATTTTCCGACGGATAATTAGTCCGTCGGAAATTTCCGATGGATTTCCGGCGGAATATAATAATATATATTTTTTTTTTAAAAAAAAAAACGCCCTTAAGAAATCCCTAAATCCTCTTCCAGTCTTCCGCCCCTTCTCCCTTCCTCTTTCCTCTTTCCTCTTTCCCCTTCTCTCTCCTCTCTCCTCTCCTTCTCTATTCGTTCGCTGCTCTCTCCTCTTCTTTCTTCTTCTCTTTTCTTCTCTTTCCTCTTCGTTCTCTCCATCCCCGTTCTCCTTCTTCTCTTCGTTCTCCTTCCCCCTTCTTTATCCTCTTCTTTCCCCTCTTTATCTCCCACCACCAACTTTAACCAACGTCACACCAGTACCACCAGCACCGACATCAACAACAATAACACCAACATCAATAATAACACCAACATCGACTACGAATCAACAACAATTTCCTCCAATTTCGCCCTTTCTCTCTCCTCATGAAGAAAACAAAGGTTTTTAGGCCAAATTCGACCATGAAAACTCTAGATCTAGAGTTTTTGTGGTTGAATTTGGCCTCCTAAACCCAATTTCAAGCTTTTATTATGTCGAATTAAGGTATGTGTAATTTTTTTTTAATTTTTTTTAATTTTTTTTTGTTGTTTTATCTGATTTTTTTTTTATTTTTGGTGTTCGAATTTTGGGAGTTGGGTCGGGATTCTATTTTTTTTTTTTAATTTTTGGGTTGTGGTTGGCTTGTTTCGGTGCCGGTTGTGGTGGTTTTAGGTGGGTGGTTGATTGTAGTTCGGCGGAAGTTGTGGTTTTAGGTGGGTTTCGGTGGCAGTGGTAGTTTAGGTGGGTGGTGGTTAGGGTTGTAGATCTGGGTTTATTTGGGTGGGTTAGGGTTTTGGTACAGGTTTTGGTGGTTGGGTAGTGGGTGATGGTGCAGGCTGGTGGTGCGATTTAGGTGGGTGGTGGTGCAGGCTGGTGGTGCGATTTAGGTGTGTGGTGGTGCAGGCTGGTGGTGTAGGCTGGTGGCGCGATTTAGGTGGGTGGTGGGGGGGTGGGAGGTGGTTTTTTTTTTGTTTTTTTAAAAGCATTTGCCGACGGAATTTCCGTCGAAGATTTCCGACGGACTTTCCCGACCCTTGAATTCACTTCCGGCGGACAGAATTCCATCGGAATTTTCGTCGGAAAACACGTTTCTGACGGAAATTCCGTCGGAATAAGCCCTTTTTCCGACAACATGTATTGCGACAAACAGTTTCGACGGAATTCCGTCGAAAACCAGTTTTCCGACGGAAAACAAGGTGTTTCCAACGGGAATTTTCCGTCGTAATTCGCCTGTTTTCTAGTAGTGATTGTGTTTATCTTGTATAGTCAAAGGGCATTAATCGTTGCCGATTTTATAGCCTAGAATTATGTTAGGCTCTTGTATATATGGTTGTACATTTGATTAGATTAGTTCAATGAAAATTTTCTATCCATTTTCTTCAAATATATTCTATACTCGTATCTAGTTGCTAAATACATTTTGTACAATTTTTTTTTTCCCTAGTATCTATTGTATATTTCGGACTTAAAAAATTACTTATAACAATTTATGGATGATGTTTTTTTGTTTTTTTATGGCTAAATAATATAGGTGGATATTGGTGTTGATGAAATTATTCAAGGACATGCACATTTGAGCTTGAATGCCTTAATTAAACCAACTTCTTTGAAAACAAAGTCACCTTTGGAAGAACAAGTTTTTGGAGTGTTTAAGCCATTTGCTTTCAAAAAGTTTCAAGATCAACTTACAAGGGCAACTCTATATTCTATAATTCATGTAGGAAGGTCATGAGTTCACGGTGAGATATTATGAAGGTGACGATAAAATCTCTCATAGAGTCTTTTGGGATGGAAAAAATACAGCCATGTGTAGTTGTAAAAATTTTGAGTTTTGGGGTATACTTTATCGCCATATATTACGGGTGTTGTTCCACAAAGATTGTTTCAAGATCCCTTTATCCTATCTACCTCTACGATGGTGTTGTGATGCATTGCAAGATACTACTAGTACTCAAGAAGATGCATTACAAGCTAATACTAGTACTCAAGTTGTACAAGAAGAAATGTTTTCCGTAGAGGAACTTACTCTGACTATTAATGCATATAGCAGGACCGTTATTATTATTATTATTGTGTTTTTTTTTTTATTTTTTATTTATTTTTTATTTTTATATATATTATTTACACTACCCAAGTACATAGCACATGCTCGTTTTTTCTCTCCGAGTCTTTCTTTTGTGTATATGCGTTCAAATAATATGTCAAAATTATGCTTGTCATATTGCTCAAAAGAAAACAAAAAGGAAAACAAGAGCAAAGCCATAAGCTTGCAAATTATTACAAATCCGTGGATATAAAAGAGAGCAAAAAATCTGAATATTTTTGTCAGTTTACTTCAAGATATTTGCACATTTAATGGATAGTAACTCAAATATTGTAAGGTTCTGGTTTAATTGGTCAGTATCTCACTTGATTTCTTCAAAGATATTAGTATCATAACTTCTACCTTCATTCCAGGTGTCTTAGCTTGTTTAATAATATACAACATCTCTTCTTATTTCAAAAGTCATGGCTTGTACATCTTCTCCAACTTTCACACTAAATCGCAACGCGAATAAACTTCATTTTCCATGGCTACCAGAGAGGAACAAACCATTGCAAACCATAATAAACCTTAACTTACCATCCTTCCCTCCTCGAAGCAATGCCATTTTTGTTAGATCTTCGTCAAGTGCACCTCCTTCTTTGTCGTCGGATGTGTTGACCAATGATGAGGATATAGAAAGAATAAAGAGGCTTCAGAATGGGTCGGACATTCGAGGGGTAGCATTGGAGGGTGAGAAGGGTCGAACAGTTGACCTTACGCCGCCTGCTGTGGAGGCCATTGCGGAGAGTTTTGGAGAGTGGTTGATATCAAAGTTAAGAGATGGTGAGGAGGAGAATGAAGGTGTGGATGTTGTTAAGGTGTCACTAGGAAGAGATCCTCGAGT